CTCAATTGCAAAGTAGTAACCCAAAATACATTTCAACCTGGAAGGTGACGTTACTGGTTTGTACCATACTCCCTGAGCACTGTGGCCTTTGGTTTCCCATCTCATCAGGAAGACTATATTTGGCAGAGCGGTGAGACCTAGCACTTTGCAGCGTGCTGACCCTGAGGTTTCCCTTGAAGCAGTGACACAAATCTATTCCTAATTAGCAGTGGAAGATCTGCTGAAAGAAATGGACTTCCAGTGACCACACTGGTGTCAATAGTTGAGCCAACGAGAAAGATCCTCCAGGAACTTGCATCCTCTCATGATTGTTATATGGGTAAAATATAACTTTTGGCATTTCACTGTCTACATAAAAATAAACTAGTTAGATTCACAGGAAGGACAACAGACTGGGAAAGATAGTGCTCCAAGGAACTGCTCTTTTGATAGCCAAGTGAGTTAGCAGCTCTCGACAAGTGCAGCTTGCAGTTACCAAGAAAGACATCCTTTATTCAGAAGTTGCATTACACAAATACTTGAACAGGTAAGTCCAAGGGTCAAAAGTACCTTTAGGTAGAATCTTGTCTTCTCAAGGCCATCGCACCTTCACAGACATTTTTCTGCCATCAGCCTGACTCTAGGGATTGGCTATGCTCCTTAGGATAAGGCCACCAGAATTACATTGCGAAACTGCTGCCCCATTGGGCCCAACTCTATTATCTTGTACTGTGCACATTGTACAGAGCAGAAATGATGAACGCCCTGAATGCGCTGATATTAAAGAGAATTTAGGGTGTAAACAACAGCAGAATTTGGCCCTAACCAAGGGAAAATCTCTGATGCTCTAAAAAAAAAATAATTAAGCTTTAAATTTCTAGTAAGTTGGAGCAGATCATTCCAGTTGTTTCACTGTGGCAGACAGGCAGAGGGGGAAAGAGATCTTAGGCTAACAAACGAACCCAGTTTTTCCTGCAGGGCCTGCTTTCCACTTGGGAGCAGCTTGACTACCACAGGGTAAGTTTGCTCAGCAACAGCCTCATCTCATGCATTTGGAGCTATGTTTATTCACAGGCAGGTGTTCAGGCCAGGTGTGGCATGGAACTGATCTAGAGCCAGACCCATCCTGGCTCTGCATGCAGCACAGACTCAGCAATGATCCTTTGGCTACTTACAAAATGGATTTCCTGGGACTGAATCCTGCCCAGCTGCCCATGGCTAATTTAGACACCGCTCCTAGGGAAGCTTAAAGATAGAAGAACTTCAGGATCATCTTGTCTAGCTTCTGACATAAACACAGGCCAGAAATCCCATGCAGGAAGCCCTGCCTGGAGCCTGCTCTGACAGAACTGGATAAAAGGAGAAACACCATCAGTTTTGCTCTCTCCTGCCCATAATGTATCACCAATGCTGCTCAAGGGGACTGAAAATTAAACAGAAAGAGGTTGGGGTTTTTTAATGTATTTATTTCACTGATCAATTCAGGTAGTAAACATTATTATTAATAATAATAATAATAACAATAATCATTTAATAAAATGGATATGTTTTAAAAGGTTTCATTTTTCTTTGTTCACAATGACAAAAAGTTCAAACAGAAATTTACAAAAAAATACATATTATAATAACCCAACAGATGGACAGGAAACAAAGAGCCTAGGAATGGAACAGGAGGTGAGGAAGTCACATGGCAGGAGCAAGCCAGCATTAAAGCACAGCGTGGTTTGTGAGGAGGAGCAGGGAACGCCATTGCAGAGCACGAAAAGTGGGACCCCCTCCTTCTCTGGGGGGAGGCATGCAGGGAGGCAGCAAGGACTGCACAGGCAGGACCAGCACAGCAGCGGCACATAAGGAGTTCATGCCACAGCTCCCTCCCCAGTCAGGCACAAGGTCCAAGATGTTGTACCGACAGCCCCAGCTGCAGCCTGGGACAGCTCTGCGGAGTGGGACACCACCCCTGCAGTGGCTCACTCAGCAAGGCAAAGCTTGGCAGAGGCACAGGAATGTGCCTGAGGGTGCAGGGGTCGCATAGAAGGCTGTGGAGGGTTGCGTGATGGGAGGTGTTAAATTACTTTCCTATCCATGCTTCTCACTGCCAGAGCCAAATGGCCAAGCTACATTTGTTCAGGAGTCTCTTCTCCACTTACTGCGCAGCTCAATGCAGCAGTACAAAACACTCCTTTAATAAACGGATGCCACCTTCCAGGCCAGAGTCTGAATCCCTGGTGCCCCCCAAAGTCAGTCTCTAATCCCTTTCCAGGCAGCCCCTAAACTCTAGTGCTCTGGGCAGGGAACCTCCTACACGGGGACATGATTTCAGCGGTACCACTGTCCCTCTGTAGAAGCCATCTCTGGTGCCTCACTCCTGTGCTTTTTTTTTTTTTTTCTTAAGTGCAACTTGAACCATCTTCGCCAGCTGGCAGCCAAAGGCTTCAGCTCTCTGTAAAGGACAGACTTGTGACTATCGACTTCATGTAGGAGTCGTGCACTGAGCTGATGGAGACTTCCTCACCCAGAGGGACAGGGGCAGATTCACCCTCAGCAATCCTGCCTGCCTGTGACCAGAGTACCCTGTGCTCTCACCAGCACACAGCACTTCTGCCCACATGCCAGGATAAAAGCTGTCAGCTCCTCTACATCCATGCTAAAGGGTAAAGGTCTCCATTATCTTCTAGGAATGAATCTGTTTGAAAGAGGAACACCTCCAGCTGGACAGGGCTCATTTGCAACAGAGCATCCTCCTCACAGACAAGACTAGTGTAAGAAAAGAGGGGACAGGTACTGCAAGGTGTTTCCTGTTATGCTAGCACAGATAAAGCTGAGAACTCAGCAGCCCTCCTGCTTCGGACAGCAGCAAACCAGCTCCAGAAAACCTGGAGGAAGCTCCTGTTTCAGGCTACTCCACTGCTCAGATAAGCACATCGCACAAAGAAAGGTTGTATTTCCTCCTTAAGCACCTTGGTCCTGCCTGTTATTGAAGACAAGCTGAACCCTTCCCTGCTGCTAGGCTGACACTGCCACTGTCACTTACGAGCCCAATACAGGGGAGAATGAAAGAAAAAAAAAACCACCATTGTTGGACACTGCTCTTGTCCAGCTTGCACATTTCTGCCAAGGGGCTTCCACCCTCACTTTGTCCTTCCACACTGTGCCAGGGTCTCTCCCCTGCCCCTGCAGCTCATGTACTGGCTAAACTGAGGCTCTGTACAGTGAGTAACTGGAACCAGCCAACCTACTCACCACCTGGAAAAGCCCTGATCAGGACTGTAAAGCCTCACGGGGGGAATCAGACAAATGCAGCGCCTAATAACAGAATTTAGGGCCTGGCTATTCCTGGCCAACACTGTGCTTCCTATTCAGGGAGATCTACTGGGGAGAGCCAGAGATGGAGGAGCAGATACAAAGGGGGAAAGGGGACAGAGGAATCGGGCCTGGAGCCAGAGGAGCAGAAGGGCCCAGCCCATGGCAGCACTCGCTGGAGTCAGAGGGGAGAGCCAAGTGTCTCTCCCTCCAACAGCCCTGATTCCCTGTGAACGCGGCAGTGTTGCTGGTGAGGCCTGCCCTGTTTGGTATATCACACTCCGGGGCTCTGCTCTGGCTGGACTGAAGTTAAAAATACTGCAGGAAGCAAGAACAGGACAGAAGCTGCTGCCCAAAGAGTGCTCTTATCTTTGCCCAGCAGATCCACCAGCCTTTCCAGCACTGAGACAGGAAGAGCCTTGGACCGGGGAGGGGGAGAAGGGCCAAGTCCCAGGGGAAAGGCAGGGGAGCAAGTGCCAAGTCTGCTGGGCTGTGCTCAGCCCCATGCAGTGACACTCCTGCACCTGCCATGGTGACCCAACACCTGCCTGGACAGGCAGCTTGCAGATCTCCGGTACAAGCCTACAAAAACTGCCCCTTTCCCCAGGAGAAGCTCAGAGCCAGCAATGTGCTTGTGGGACTGCAAAGCCTGGGGGTAGGGCACAGCTCTGTATTTGGGGTTGGATTTCAGCCCTGGGGTTTCTACCCCCTCCAAAGCAGTCCTGGCCAAGCACTCTGCTGCCATGGTGCTTTTCAGAGCAGACACTGGAGACACACTGCAGCTGGATGACCAGAGCTAAACCATGAGATACCCTCACCCAGCTACTGCAGGGCCCTGGGGTTCCTCTACCAACACCTCCAGCCTGCTGTGGGAGGAAATCATGGCTGGGAAGGTACTCACTCCCTTCATCTCATCCTTGCAGGCAACAGTCAACAAATCCTCTCTGCCAGAAAGACATAACTGAGAGCAGTAGAAGCCATTTTCTTCTAACTGACCTTGAGAGACTTGGTCCCTTGCTGCTCAGTGCAAAGATACTGGAGTTTCTTGATAGGAAAAACAAAACTAACCAACTAAACAAAAAAAAAAAAAAATCAGAAAAACCCGGGCAGGAAATCAGGCAACCATCAGGACCCCTGAGCAGGTCAGTGCACAGAGAAACCCCCAGCCCCAGCTCTCTGGGCCACAGCCAACCCCAGGCTGAGGAGCCCGAGCAACGCAGGTCAAACTCACAGGAGGGTAAGGCTGCCTTTACAATGCTTGTGCTGGCCCCAGACAAGGGGAACAGGGAGGGGGGCACAGCACCTCAGTTGGGAGTAAACATTTACGTGCATTGACAGATAGTCTTCAAGTTCGTACACCAGAGAAACCAGGACTTTAAATACCAGAGCATTCCCAAACAAGAGATTAGTACATGGGAAAGGGAGATCTTTTTCTTTTCTTTTTCTTTTTTAGGATGCCTTAGAGACTTCCCAGGCTATTGTCTTTAAAAGAAAAAAAAGAAAAAAGAAAAGAAAAGAAAAGAAAGAATAATTATTAAAAAAAGAAATACACATCAGTAAACTGTTAAGTGAACAGCCTCCTCCACACTCCAGCTGACTGCAAAGCCAGCATTGCCGCTAATAAATTAGAGGGTGCGGGTGCAGCTCTTGCCCATAAGTCTCTATACAATGGGAAACCTTTTCTTAATGTCCACAGCTCTTGCCAGGCCTCAGATGGTCACTGGGGGATTCCCTCTGCCCTCCGAGTACCTGCCTCTCACTGATCCTGCATCTGCTGCTGCATCTTCTGCAGCATCTCTTGCATCCGCCGTAACTGCACAAGAGAAGAGAGAGTCAAAAAAGGGATCTGTTGTGGCTGGGAGCTGGTGATCTGCACTGGGGGCTGGTGATCTGCACTGGGGGCAGTCTCTTGGAGCTGACAAAGGGATCCCTCAGGGAGTATTAAATCCTGCCTGAGCACAGAGGCATCTGTGTATGGGGTGGAATGGAGCCATGTTTCCCTGACAGAGAAAGCCGCAGCTTTCACACCCTGTCCTCCACACCAGGAACCCATGACGGTGGGAGGCAGGAGTGCGAAGCCCAAGGACAGCCTCTATGGGGCAATCCTGGAGAAACTCCTCAGATTCCAGCTCCAACACCAAGAAGGTCCAGGCAGAAATGGGTCTCACCTCCTCATCCTTCATTTTGATCAGCTTCTCTGTCTCAGTGTCTGGTGTTGGGAGAGGCAGAATAGGAATCGGGCTTTCTATCCTGTTGTCCTGAGTCAGCTTGCTAGAGAGGTGGAGAGAGGGAAGAAACACAGTCAGTCGTGGTTCAGGCTGGCTGGCTTTGCTGTCACCACGTGATGGCAGTCACTCACGATGGCAGACCTGCCAGCAACGCGGCAACATGCACCCAGCCAGGTGGAGCAGCTGTGGGGCGATCTAGCCCAGAGGTGTGGGATGCACTCGGATGCAGAATGAGACCAAAGTCTATAAAAGTTTTCAAAATGAAAGCTTGTGGGTAGCTAACAGAGAATATCCAAACCAGGCTTACACTGACAGCAAACACAGAAAGGGCTGATGTTTCTGACCACCTTTTGTAACTGCATTGGCAAGCTTAGCAGAGACATTTACAGCCAATTTTTCTGGTCTCCTTTGGCTCATCTGTTTATGTGCCTACACATATACACAGCATCAACACAAACTATCAGCATCCCTAAGGCACCACATGCTCACCATGGCCCTTTTTTCTCCAGGAAGATAAAACCAGGGGAGCAGTTTAATCACTGCAAGTCTGATAACAAAGCCTGCCCTCATATTCAGGAGGTGGGAGACGTGAGACACAACAGGCACAGCACAGCAGCATTGCAATGAGGGCTGGGGGTGCACACAAGTGCAGGCAGGAGCAGAGGAAGGAGGTGACTTTTTTCCAAAAGTCAGAGGAGCTCTCCGTAGGTGAGGAGGGGGTGGCAGTGGCCAAAGATGCCTGGGCTGAAACTGTGAATTCAAGATGCCACTTGCAGGCGTTCACCACTTGGAGTCACCGTTGGCTCATTATTGAGTCAATTCCAGCCCTGGAGTTTGGGATCTCTTCCCAAAACGTCTCTCTAGAGAAGGACCCTTATCCCACTGCTAGAAATGGCCACGCTCCGGTTTTACGAGACTTGTTCACTGGCAAGGAGCTAGCCATGGCATGAGAAACGGTACCAAACTTAAGCTTTTCTTAAGCTGAGCAATTGCTTTTTCATTGTGCTCTTCTTTTAATAGATACATAGCCTACGTAAATAGCAGCTCTGACACTTCTCACAGATCTCTAGCGTTTAACATAGTCATTCTGGGACTCTGTATTCTCACTGTTGAAAAAGACAGGCTCGTCTGCTATGCAAAAGTACTGAGATACACTGTGTGTGAACAAAATGTGCCAACCTGCACGTTTGCACACAGGCAGCACTGTTCCTTGGTGAAGCACAGCCATTTCTGCTCTGCAACGTGGCAGCACAGAGCTACCCGGCCAGTTCAGGCAGGAAGTGAAGGGGATGGTTTACAACAGATGAGCCAAGACCTACTTAAACCTAAAATTTGCCACCAGTATTTCAGTCATGGAAGGGAGAAGGAAAAAAAGTAGTTTCAAATGAGAAGCCTGTGAGTGGTGTCTCTTCTATTTTCTGATCGTTGTGACTAAAACCACAGAGAATCAAATGCAATGGGAAGACAATGCAGAGAAATCTTTGGAGATGTGTTAAGAGTCTTGCTAATTGCCTGGGCTCTGTTGTCTGAGAAACAGCAGCATCCCAAGGATCATGCTGTCATTTCAACAGAACTACAGACTGCAGAATGCCTTCCTCTTTGGCAAGGCACACAGCTATCACCCACCAGAGAGATGGTTTATCCCCATTTCATTAGACTGGATGTATTTCACCCAGTGCTAAGAACAGCTCTTCAAGAGTCTCCAGGCCTACTTCCCAAGATCTGCGTGGGGAATCCTCAGACAGGAACATGAATTCTCAGAATTATCTCCACCATGGGTTCAGGCTGTGGGGGACACACTTGGATTTGCTATTCTACTTCCCAGTGCCATTCCCCAGGCTGCAGCCCAGCATGTCCCTGGCAGATCCACAGCCTCCTGACCAACGAGCCATTCTGAGAGCAACCCCAGCTCTGCAGACCATGAAACACCCCTGCCACCTCCAGCTGAAGCGCTGCGGACCCACCTGGTCATTTGCTGGATGCACTGAGCTCGGTAGTTCTCATAGTGGACATCACAAGTGACGTCCTTCAGGTCGTGCATGTGTGTCCGGATCAGCATGTTCCGCAGCTTCACAAAGTCGCAGTGTGCCTGGTTTTCCACTGCAGAAGCAACAACAGGACAGTGCTTGGATGTCACACCTCACCAGCCCTCTCCAGGGAGCCCCTTCCCACCTCCCAGCACCCAGGCTGGACTAAAACTCCCCCCTGGGCCCCTTCCCCATCCTCCCACAACTCTTCCCCATCAGTGCCTGGGGCTCTCCTCCTGGCCCTGGCGCAGGCCTCGATGATGCTCTGTGCTTCTCAACACCAAGGCCAGGCTGCTGAGGTCACTGTGTTCCCAGGACTTTTTCTGGGTAAGAGGATTAATTAAGCACGTACAGCAGAGCCCTGAAAGAGGATGCTGCTCCCAGGAACATGGGATGTCATTCTTATAACCACAGTGAGCGCAGCCAGTGCTGGAGGCAAACTGATCATCTCAGAATTTAGCACTGATCAAAAGGCCCCTGTAGGCAAAATCAGCTCTTGAGGGGCAAAGCCACGAGCAGGCAATGGTCTGGAGAACTGAAAGAGCTGCTGTTACCACGGGGAGCCAGGCTCCAGGCAGCACTGCGGGACTCTGCAGGGAAGTGTTGTGATCAGTAGCTGTGTGCCTGCTATGGCGATCCCCATTTACCTCTCTGCAGGGCCGGGGGAAGCCGGCTATGTCAAGCCCAGGGTTTCACAAAGTTGATACCACTGCCACATGCCAGCACCCTGACAGGCACAGCCCCCTCTGGAGCCAGTCAGAGAGCAGAGCCAGCAGCTGGGCAGCCCAAGCAGCCGGCACCAGCCCACGAGTGCACACACAAGCTTTTGGGATCTAATTTAGCTGCAAGACCTTAAAGCAATGCACCAGCATGGGGGAGGCAGCAGCAGCAGCAAAAGCCATTCCAGGGTTATTCTGCCTACAGGCGTTATGAAATTTCTCCCTTTAGAAAGAAAGAAAGTAAGAGACAAACACATTGTGCATCAGCACAGCCTCCAGCCCAGCAACTCCAGCACATACAGGAGTGGCAGCAGAGGAGGAAGTGCAGGAGGGTTTATGATTCAATTTGGCTGAGGGCTATGGCTTCTCCCCAGAAACTAAACTGGCAATGCCCAGCCTCCCCCCTTAATAAGAAGCCATATCCTAGTGCATTAAAGCCCAGGCATTCTTCCATTCTCACTGGAGCCTCTCTTCTTCAGTCTGTCATGGCTTCAGAGGCAGGGTGATTGCTACACCCCCAATAACAGACCTCCTGAGCTGGTCCCAGTTCCTCTGTCTCTACCCTACCTTGTCCCCTGCCATGTGCCAAAGGTGGCACAGTCAGTCACGGCTGTGCAGAGGTGAGCTCTCCCCTGCCGTTCCTGTTGCAAGTGCCTGCCTGTCCTTCCTCCATCCCTGCCTGCCCCTCACTCAGTGCTGGCTCCCAGGCACCACGCTTACCTTCCACAATGCCCCAGGGGTAGAGCCGTCCGCGGACTCGCTGGCCTTTCGCCTCCACCACAGTGTTACTGCCGATGACAGCAAAGGGAGCGCTCTCCTGGAATGAGAGGCATCGCTGAGCCCAGCTCAGCCTGGGGCTGCCCACAGATCCCTCCTCCAAGGGCCAAGCTCAGGCAGAGCAGAACAGGAGGAGGAAGGTGCTGGTAGGAGAGGCACAGGGACATCCACATGTGCCACAGCACAGGACACCACAACCCAGTTGCAGAGAAAAGCCTAAGGCACTGGGATCTGCAGGCAGCCTAATTCCCAGCCTGAACTTCTCAGCTGTCCTGAGGGAAGCTGTGTCTCTGCAGGTGCCTGCACCCCTTCTTTGAGGGGAAACTCTACAAGGAAGCCAGAGCAGAGAGGCTGGGACACCAAGCAAGTGGGACAATGTAGGCTAAGAGCTTGTCCAGGCAGGGATGTACAGGCTGGGCTCCTCTCTGCTCAGAAGGGAGTCAAAGCCCATTGCACAGCCTGCACAGGAGAAACAAGGCCATACTGCACGCACACACAGGGCTGGCTCAGCTTGGGAGAGGGTCAGGCCTGGGCTGCTGGGGCCTCCAGGCAGGCCTGTATGATCATGTTGTCTCCCTCCCATGCAACTAATATGTCACAGTGGTGCCTCATCACTCACAAATTGCTCCTGCTTGCTGATGGCATCACTCAGAAATAGGTGCTTATAAATGCTATACAACCCAGCCTTCATCTTAAACATACAGTCTGGGGTAGACCAAGGAAAGACTGACACTGCCTGGTGGGAAAGCAGAATTGCCATGTCTTCATGCCACACTTGACTTCATGGCACCAGCAAGGACATCAGCACCTTCTCCAGGCCATCTACCATGTGAGCCAACGTAGGCTGTCCCCTGGGTATCAGTAGCACGGGCCTTTGGCACACATAGGGCAGCTCTGGCTCCTTCTGGAGCAACCAACATACCCACAAGCCTGACTTCCCAGTCCCCTGCTAAGCAGGTTGCTTACCTTCAGCTCTCTGTCTTGCTGCTTGAAATCCTCATCTTCATCAGAGTCACACTCAGGAAACTGGTACACTTTAATGCCAAATTTGTCAATCTCTTCCCGGATCTGTGTCCATGAAAGACAAAAACAAAAGGATGCAACGCTGAACAATACAGAAATGCTGGGTTTATTCCTTGTTTGTGCTACCATGGGTTTGCTATAGCCTACAGATGGCGAAAGGATTTGATGTTTCTTCTAGAGCTGGCGTCTCTGCAGACACCACTTCCCTCCTCTCAGCAGAGCACTGCTACAATTGGATTTGCAGGTACTGTGTGTGTATATATACACACACACACACTATCTATCTATCTATCCATCCATCCATCTATCCATCCATCTATCCATCCATCCATCTATCCATCCATCTATCCATCCATCCATCTATCCATCCATCTATCCATCCATCCATCTATCCATCCATCTATCCATCCATCCATCTATCCATCCATCCATCTATCCATCCATCTATCCATCCATCTATCCATCCATCCATCTATCCATCCATCCATCTATCCATCCATCTATCCATCCATCTATCCATCCATCCATCTATCCATCCATCCATCTATCCATCCATCTATCCATCCATCTATCCATCCATCCATCTATCCATCCATCCATCTATCCATCCATCCATCTATCCATCCATCTATCCATCCATCTATCCATCCATCTATCCATCCATCTATCCATCCATCCATCTATCCATCCATCCATCTATCCATCCATCCATCTATCCATCCATCTATCCATCCATCCATCTATCCATCCATCCATCTATCCATCCATCTATCTATCTCCCCCATCTATCTATCTCCCCTCCTTCCTCAGCCCATCCCTGCCGCCACATCAGGTATACCCCTGTAGAGAAAGAGCATCTCACCCTCTCTTTTAGCTTCCGGATCTCGGAGGGGATCAGGCAGTCAGCTTTGGCAATCAGGGGCACAATGTTGACCTTCTCATGCAGAGCCTTCATGAACTCAACATCCACAGGCCTCAGCCTGCAGCAGGGACAAGGAGGGACATGGTTAGCAAGGACACACTGGGCAGCTCCCCCTCCAGCCTCTCCCACCCACCCAGCACGAAGGGGAAAGGACAGCACTGGGACAGCCCTCAGCTAGGGCTGTATCTTCAGGAAAGCTGTCTCAGATTTTAGCTGCTGAATGTCTCACAGAAGCACAGGCTGGGTATTCACTCCTTTGCAGGCCAAATACTGCCCAGGCCACAGCCCGGGGCCTCCCTCCAGCTGCCCTGTGCTGCAGGCAGCCAACACGACCCCTCCAGCTGCTCCAGGCTAGGCCAGCACACGAGCCAGCAAGGGGCAGGGACTGAAGGCAGCTTAAAACTCCCTTTCCTACCCATCAGTCACACTTAGCTAGATAGGAAGATACAAGTCTGTGTGGCATTATTTCTCCTGATTTCCAAAACAGGCTGCAAGGCCTGAGGGAGATCTGCTCTGCCTGATCACAGGCAGTCTGTCATGCTAGCGAGTGGGAGGGAGATGGCGTGATGCTCAGCCGAGGGAGAGCAGCCGGACGGCTCTCATTCTGTGCCAACAGCCCTGCCAATGTACAAACCACTATAGGGCAATCCTGGGGCACAAGGGTCTTCCCTCTGGATTGAGTCATACCCCAGCCCCGGAGTGGGGGCTCTCACCCATGCCCGAAGGGTGAGATGAAGTAGAGGCAACAATGCACTCGGTTGTCCTGGATGTTCTTCCGGTTCAGGCCACTCTCATCACGGAAATACTGTTCAAACTGCTGGTCAATGTAGTCAGTGATGGGCTTCCAGCTGGGAAGGGTAATTCAATCAAAACAAAATCATGTGTTTAACAGGACACTGTCTCCTAGGGACCATGAGGCAGTATCACCCCCTTCACGCTGCCAGCCCCCCTTTCGGTGAAGCACCCACAGAAAGCAGACATGGCCAAGGACTAGGAGGAAGGCAGCAGTGGCCTGCTCACCACTCAGTGTTGTTAACAGCATCTCCAAAGCCTGGTGTGTCCACTATAGTCAGCTTCAGCTTGACACCCTTCTCCTCAATGTCCACCGTGTGCTTGACAATCTCCACTGTCTGGTTGATTCTCTCTTTGAAAAGGAATATGTAAGTTAAAGCCAGGCAGTAACTGGGGATCCCCACTCACACCCACGACAAGCCGGCTCCCTCCTTATCATTGAGCACAGGGAGTAGCATGGGTGTCAAAAAACCCTGATCATCCTCTAAGGAGCCTCAAGGGAGTGGTACTGTGGGAGGCCAGCAGCAGGCAGACAGACTCTGAGGAGATACACAAACCTCTGAAGTGCTTGTAGCCCAGCTGTTCTGAACATTTTGTCCAGTCAGTTGGGAAGGGGAATTCCTACTACACTCCAGCACCCAAGAACAAAAGACAAATCTCAGCATCTCAACCCAAAAGGCTAGTGCTGCTCTGCAGCCTCATCTTTCCTTCATAGGACAGAAGAGCCCTACAGCCAGACCCTTTTTGCCTGAATACTAGTGCCTCTGCAGGCAGCAAAGGAGAGCAGAGCAACAAACAACAGGGCTGGGATCCAGTCAAGCCTGTAGCCGCTGCTGAAGCAAGGAACCAAAGTACTGGTCCTTAGAACAGTCTAGACCTGTGGGCACAAGAACGGTTCACCCCCCTTTGTTCCCAACTTACCCTCTGCATTGAGGAGCTTTCTGTCTTTGTAGAGGTCTGTCAGGAACAGGCTATTCACCAGCGTGGATTTGCCCAGACCCGACTCTCCTAATTGACAGAGTGCAAAGGGGAGGAGGGAAAAGCAAGCAACATGACCCACTAATTGACTTCTTACAAATGAAACTGAACAAGGCTTTGAATCCTGAGCCAGAAGAAGTGAGAGAGATGAGCTGTCAGAAGCTGTTTCTGGGCATTACATTTTTCCAGCAGTGGGAGGACTTTTTGCTGCAAGATGTCTCAATTCTTGTTCAAATGTGATTTCCCAGCTCCACCATCCTCCCTCCCCTTCCCTTCCCTTGGTCCCTGGCTGACCCTGTCTTCACCACCCAGACCAGCCACTCTGTTGGAAAAGCTACACTCGGTGCTTGCTCAAGCAGGCTATGAGTGGTCAGGAGGGGCCCATTCCCCCTGGGCGAACAGTGTGATTGCAACACAGGCTGGGGAGCAAAGCAAGGCCTGAAGCAAGGACCAGAACAGAGCGAGGGGAGGATCCACACCCTAAGGGAGCACCTAAGGGAAGTGAGGAGAGCTGGTCCCCTCCACGCACCCACCATGTGGCCCAGACACCTCCACCCATGGGCAGTCTCACCTGCGACCATCAGGGTGAAGTCAAAACCCTTCTTCACAGATTTCCGGTGGACCTGGTTCGGCAGAGTGGCAAAGCCCACGTACTGCTTCTCGTGGTCCTGCAGGGCAGAGGCCGACAGAGCAGGTCAGGGTGTGCCTCCTGCTCAAGCCTCACACAGCAACAGGGAGTTGGACTCAAAAAGTCCCTGAGGCAGAGCCAAGGGGTGGAGGAGAGGTCAGCCCCTGCTCTGGCAGCACTGCGGGGCAGGGCACATACCTCCTCTAGGCTCAGGGACTTCTGCCCTTCCTGCAGGTGGGCATGGAGGGCCACCTCCTCCCAGCCGCAGCCCTGCTTGGCTGCTCTCACCAGCAGACATGGCAGTTCACGGCAGTCTTCCAGCATGGAGAGCACAAGGGAAAAGGTACATCCTGCTGTTCCCACCAGAGAGCACATCTGGGGCTGCTACCGACACACAATTTTCCTAACTCTTTGCTTCTTCTGCACAGACACAGGCTCCCCTCACAGCAGGGTCACCAAATGTCACCTCTCCCCAGGTCTTTCAGAGCCATTTCTGCATCTCTCCTTCCAGAGGCGCATGCGGTACATGATGGAGAGCTCTCTGTAATTAGCACCCCAGGGCTTGTGGTGTCCTGAGCCATGTCTAGAGGAAGGCACAGTGGCTTGGCTTCTGTTTGACCTGAGACAGGATTATTTCTTGCTGTGTCACAGCCACTCCTGGCTGAGTAAGAGGAAACCCTGAATAATCTCTAGCGTTATTTCTGAAGAGACAGAAGTTCAAGGAGCACAGGGAAGTGGGAAGATGTGAAAGTATTGAGAACACAGGTGAGATGTTTTTGGTGAGGGTATTACATATGGTATTACTGGAGTGTTACCTACTGCCTAACCACCCCCCAGGTGCAGACCCCTATCACCAAGCGCTCTCTGACTACATAAAAGCCACAGCCACCCCACAAGCACAGCACACGCTCTGTACAAGTGCACTAAGTGCACACAAGGAGTGACATGACCAATGGTGTGTTTCACAAGTGCACGGCATGCATCCCGCAGCCAGGAGCAAACACGCAGCCTGTGCTGTGTCCCAGGGGCACACACCCTGCTCATGCAGGGTACGTCCCGAAAGGCAAACACGGCTTGTCTATGGGATTCACAGACTGGGCTCAGCACACAGTCCGCTGCTCACAGCTCAGGCAGCTGTGGGTAACTGTGGGTCACACAGCCCGGCTGCTCCAGCCAGCCAGCCTCCATCTGAGCAACCTCGGTCCTTCACAACCTGCCCCCCCATGGCAGTGCGTTCCCCTCCCCAGGCCCCATCGCAGAGGGAGGGTGGGCACGGACCCTGGCAAACACCTCCCTTCTCACATACTTTCCAAGCTAGACCCAAGGGGAAGCAGCCGTTCACAAATGCCTGAGCTAGAGACATGATAGTCTCTGCATTTCAACATCACTTAAAATAAACGTACCCCTGGGATTCACACCACAGGCAAATCCACGAAGCCAGGAGTTCCTCAAAACCAGCCCCAGCTCCCACCCAGCCACGGATGCCTTCAAGCATACAGCTGTCCTCAACCCACAGGCACTGGTTCTCCAGGCACAGCAGGGAAGACCTCTGTTCTTAAGTTTAACTATCTCCATTCCTGCGGCATATACTCAAAAAACCACAAATTATGTACCAGTGTGTCGAGCTTAGGGCAATGCTGACTCTCACCTATTTCCACACTGCAAGTGGGCAATGCAGCTGCCGAGCAGCCCTCTACAGCCCCTGGCCGTATGTCCACATCTGTGAGCATCCTCAGGCATCCTCATCTGGGCAGACTGAAAAGTTGTAGTGGGGACAGACAGCAGGGAGGACAAAGAGTCTCCTCCTCCCAATTTATGGCTGCTCTGCAACTGTCCACTCAGACAGGACAGACATGGCTGATAGCCACTGTGGCCCAAGGGCTCTGTTCTTTAGCATGGTCACTGCCTTCTAGAAATTTAGGTTTGGTTTGAGTTTCAGACTTGACAGACAGACAGAGTGACTGTTGGCTACGGTCTCCCTCACCTCACGCCCTTGCTAATGTAGCTGAAGTAATGCTGCTCCACCGCCCCACAGTCCAGAAAGGCAGGAAGGGACAGAGCAAATGAAATTAGAGAGAAGTGGGGAGAATTAGAGTGCGCCCAAAGCGCTCCACTAGCAGCTCTAATGGCTGAGCTAAAAGGCACTGGCATCCCAAAGCAGTGGTGCAGCGAGCAGCGGCGAGACCCCAGGGTGAAAAGTGATGGCAGCTCTGATGAGCTGCATGCGGCAAAGAAATGTCTGCCTGGGGGACACTGCGAACTGCCACCCGTAAAGGGTAAACACGAGGTGTGCAAAACAGGGTGATAAATGTGATAATGGCAAGATCAAGAAAACAAGAAAAAAAAGGCCGCTTCCAGCCTGTGTCCCTTGGTGCCAGGGCTGCCTCCCAGCTGCTTTGCTTCCCAGTGAAAACACATCTATGAACACAACCAAAGCGCACACGTAACAGCCCGCACCTCACAGTGGAAGGACCAGTGTTGCTCAGCGAGCAGCACAAATATACAACATCCTTGCCCTTGCGTTTCTCATACAGCCAAGTTTTGGGTCGGAGCAGGAGGAGACCTGCCCTGATCTTTACCAGACTTTGGAAAGACAACGATCACCTGCTCTCTCCAGTGACTTGACATGTGAAATAGTACTAGTGACGTGCTAATAAAACCATAGCTGAGGCTCAGGGTGTGTTTCTCATTTTCTTTGTTTTTTAACCTAGATGACTAAGGGCTGACAATGGAGACACTGGGGAGCTGAGCTCTGGTGCAACTCCACTTACTTCAGCCAAGTGTAACTGGCTGAACCTGATCTCTCATTTCTGTTCAGCCCAACCAAGAAAGCGTGGATTTACTGTACCTCTGGTTACCTCCCCATAGCTCAGTGGAATCAGACACTTGGCAACGTCCAGCTAGTGCAGGACACTGCCGTTTACTCATGACTCATGCAGTCATTTCCATCACATTAAGGAAGGTCAGTGCTGAGCACAAGGCCAAAGAGAAGAGCTTCCCTCTCAGTGGGAGGCAGCCAGTTGCAAGGAGAAAAGCCCTGTTCCCAGTATGCTCCGCTCTGACCAGCATGGACGAACTGCAGAGCCCTGCCAGGAGCCAGAGCAAACGTGATTCTAAAGGGGAAGGCAGGAGATGCAGGGGAAATTGTGGAGAGGGATCCCCTTCTAACCGCCTTCTCTCGGGAACAACAGCATGGTCCCTGCACCACGGCCAGCCTAGACCCACAGTTCCTCATCTCAGCTTTAAGACAACCAATCTGTGCTCCCATCCCACTGCGACAGGCACGTGCCACCGTCTCTGCCAGTGTGCCAACATCAACATCGCACTTAAGGAGCCCAAGTAGCCTCCTGAGACTGGTGTCTGCCTCACTCAAAGGTCTACACCACTCACCATCTTCATTAGGACCCAACACGGACACTATCTGCAGAGCAACCATGCACGGGACAGAGAGCGCCGAAGCAGGTGTAGAGGGCTGGGAGGGTTACTGAAGGAGGCAGGTGACTTTCTGGGTTGTGAAAAGCTGAAATCCATTAATTAGATGAGAGACTTGGACTGAGGGAGTTCCTGGAGGCATCACAGCCCCCTCCCACATGCTCCTGACCCTCGCGAGCCAGCTCCCATCAAGCTGACACAGGCTGGGACAGCCGGTCGCTGCACCACGCTTCCCTCGCCAGCCCCAGCTGTCAGGAAAGGGCCCCGGCCAGCTGAGCATTCTGGCACAAGAAGCCCCTCTCCCCACTGCCTCCTCCATGTGCTGCCTTTGTTCCCACTGGTGTCCTGCTCCCACGCACCTAGGAATGTGCCCCACACACTGCAGCGGAGGCCACCAAGAGATATGGCTGACCTTTGGGGCCCTGTTACAAACCAAAGCTCCCCAAGCCGAGCAAAACATGTCTGTACTCTCCCTCGGCACACGCTCGCCGGTTCACCGGACATCACAGCAACACGCCACGTCCTCACATCCTCCACCACCCAGCCGAGGCGGCCAAGGCTCCCTGGCAGGCAGTGCTCTCCCTGGGAGTTCAAGCAAAGGGACAAAGCACTGGTGAGTTCAAGTCCTGTTCCTGTCGGGGGTAGAGACATTCAGGATCTGTTACATAAAAGGAGAAGCCATCCCCAGTACCAAGGTGTCCGCAGGGCTGTCTGTACCTCCAAGACAGGGTACGCAGCATGGCCTCCATTGCTCCTGCCATTACCGATTCCCTCCTCACCTCCCCCGTGGATGTGCTGTTTAAACCAATCCAGATCTCATGTGACTTCACCATTCAGCCTGGGGATAAATGGAGCCTTGCTGGGTATATTCAAAAGGGATAAAATTAAACACCATGGGACCACAAAAAATTTGAAGAATAACCCCTACCCCAGGTCTGGAGCAAACCCCAGAAATGATGGAGCTTGCGTTGGGATCCTGCTACCCCTGCCTCCACTTCTTCACGGGGGGTGGGCTCTTGGTGTTACAGCCTCCGGCGCAAGCCGTCCAGCTCCCTCCCAGGCAGCCCTTCTTCCAGCCGTTCCTCTCTAGCCAGGCACAGCCGCCACATCCACATCTGCACAAACCAGCATAGCACAGCCCCAGAGGAGAAGCAAACCCTTCACTTCCTTTCATTGCCAGAAAGCTGCATAAATTCATAATGCAAACAGCCCCCAGGGCATCTCCCATGTACATCTGTTGCCCCAGGCCTGGGGCTGAGAACGGGAGTATCAGCAAAACACTTGCCCACCAGCATCTGCTGCAGCAGAAAGAAAACCAGCCAGCAAAGCACAGCGTTAACATGATAGCGCAAACCAGACTGCATTTGGGCACACACGCAGCACTAACTCCTGCCCTGAGCACCCCTAAGCACACACACACCATTCAGAGAGGGAATCACTGCATCAAATAACCACACAAAAATATGTCGCACATCTCCCAGCTGTCCATCACGCCCCTCGGCCCTGCTCCCGCTGGGACTGCTCCCCTCCTTTCTGTCCCCACCGTCTCTCCCTTACCAGCGTCTTTCCGCTCCTCTGCTCCTCAGAGGTCTCATCTCATGCTGCACACGTCTGCTCAGGCACCATCCTCCCCCCTCCTGTCCCTGCTGCTTCCCAGCTCGAACGGTGCTATAAATACATCCCCATACCTTCAGCTTGGCTGGGTGGCTTCGCTGTGCCTGCGTCCGGGGAGAAAGCAGCCGCTCCACTAACCGCTCCTGAATAATGATCGAATCCATAACCGCGGCCAGCAGGACGGACAGCCACCACGGGCCAAGAAAAAAAAAAACCAACCCATGTGTTCCCTCCCAGCCGTCGTTAAATCCATGCGGCAGCCCCCCCGCCTACGCATGCACACACACGCAGGGCTGGCTCAGCTCGCCTCGGTGTGGCAGCCCAGCGAGGCAAGGAGGAGAGGCGAGGAGAGAAGAGGTGAGCAGGCTCCCACGCAGCTGCCCGGGATTTCCTGCCTCCGCCTGTGCTGCGGGAGGAGCCTGCCAGCAAGAACAGGACAAAAGCCACCGCAGCCACAGGCCAGAGGCAATGTCTCTCGCTCTGCCAGTGTCCTGCAGAGGGGTTGTGCACATACCGGATGCTGTCCCAGCCATGAGTCTGACTCCTTTTGTCAGATGGGCTTATTCAGCTGGAGGATTTCTTAAGATATCCTGACTGATGCAGCCAAGACAAAGGTTCACTGCAAGGAAACCTGCTCTTGGCAAAAACGTGCTGCTTCTGGTTGTGTGTGTGAAGGTCTAAAGGGTCTGGAAAGCTCCCAAAAAGCTGGGTCCAAACTTAACCTCCAGATCCTACTCCTGGTTGATGTGGATCTGCCTCCACGTGGTGCAGGTCCATCTGTTGTCTAGTCTAGGCTATATTGCAGCCTCATCTCTGAATCCAATTGGAATAGCAGCTGATGTATTCTGGACCTTACAGCAACCATTTAAGCTTTGAAGACATTTCAAAATAAAGAAGTATCTGTGTGTTTGTTAAGCACAAGTACCCAGCCTAGCAACAGCCTAGCACGCACAGAAAAATCATTCAAACCTCAAGTTTGGATTCTGAAGCTACATATAAGACCTGCTTTCCAGCTTTTCTATGCAGTCACAGAAACCGAAGAGGAATTTATCTGAAACAGACAAAAGCTGATAATCTCATATAATCACGATTCCAGAAATTGGGGGGTTAATATCACAGCATGTACCATAAAGTCACACGAGATGGCAACGCTGGTGATGCTGGAGGAAACTGCCACTTGCCACACAGGTTCCTGAGCAGCTTTCTGCTCACAAACGGGTAAGGATGCAAGCTGCTGCCACGCTCCTGCCTCGCTCCCAGCCAGAGCTCCCACTGCTTCTCTGGGAACCACAGGTCTCTGGCAGTGGCTCCAGAGAGCACCTGATCAGCGGGGTCTGCCCTGGTACCTCAGGCCACAACCCAGGGCCTCCACCGTGCACCCCAAGCGTGGCTGACACCAGGTTCTGCTATAAGGTACCAAGTTACTGCAAGGTCTCCAGTGGCCTGAAGTCTGGGGGCAGCTGTACGAGTGGAAAGGTCTTAGAAACACACCACACGCTGAAAAAAAAGGAAAGAAGAAGGAAAAAGAAGAACGATGTTTTACTTATGCTGCCATCCTGCAAGCTGAGGGAAGGTGACCTCAAAAGTTGCAGGCATGAGGTCCTAAAGGCTCAGAAAAATAAGTGGAGGAGAACTGGGAAACACTCCCAGAACAGGAAAACTCCTGCCATACGGCAGCTATCATATCACATGCATAAAGCCGTTTTCCAAACCACCCTGCTCTGACAGCAGCATCTTTAAATTACACCCACTGGGTTTTGTTCCCAATCATTTCTGCATGTAACAGTCAAGCGGAAGGCCTGGACTGAGATCCAGGTGTGACAAGAATTGCCACCTCTCAGAACACGTCCCTGTTTGGCGGCTCTGCCCCTGCTTTGCAGCATTGCTCCCTTCCTCAGGGAGATGATAATCCTACAACATCCTCCCAGCCCAGTGGTAGATCGGGCCATGCTCATGACACTGTTTTTTTCTCCCAGATTCACAATACCTAATCCCTGCTTTCCTGACTGGAGGACTCCACCACCGGAGTCTGCAGGTTGTGCATGACTGAGGAGCAAGGAAGGTACCACACTGTCTGCACTGGGCATACCAAAGATGCATCCAAACTTAACTTGAGATAACACAGAGGTTCCACCAGTCTTTCCACACCATAAACCACAATAGCTGCAAGCAAACCCTCTCCAACCCCCATGAATTCTCATGGCTTGGTAAACCCTTGCCTGGGGACCACAGGCCACATGGCCACCAACCACAAGCATCTTCCATGGGTACATAGAGACATGCTGTGTCCCCACAAGCCCACTGCATCAAATCAGAGCATTCTTCTGAGCTGGGATCACAGATGAAGTCAACAATGATTTGGTTGCAACAAAACCACAGTGTTGTTCAGGGCCTCAGGAGCTGTGCTGACAGTGCAGAGAGGAACAAGGAACTACTGTCTCCTGAGCGCCTTGAGCTCTCACACATCACACTCACTCTCAGGACTGGCAGCCAGGGAGGAACTCCAGCCAGGAGGCCACGCCTGGGAACGCAGAGAGCAGATTAGGGAAAGAAACCCAGAAGTGTAGGCCTTGGATACAGAGAGCATCTTAAGACTGCATGGCCAGCGCTATGGCTTTCAAAATGCTGAAGGAGGTTCAACTGGTCCCATACTCAGCCTCCTCTGCCTCTCCTACAGATGCTCATCTTGGCTCCTCTCCTACCCAGAGTCACCAAACCAGAAATGACAGGCCAAGAAGAGGACATGTTTGTGTCCCTCAGATGTGCCACATGATACACCCAGAGCCATTGCCTCAGGTTGGTCCATGTGCAAACTTCCCAAAGACAGCCAAGCCAACCTTATTTTGCCCCTGTCCTTCCTGATTGCCCCCCTCCCTTTCCACGCAGCCCCTGGAAATGCCCAGCATAAACCCTGGCCTGCTCCTTCAACAAGAAATCTGATGTACGACGCCCTTAAAAGAGGAAAAATAGCACACAGGATATCTTACATGCGGTGTGCAGCAGAGCTCAGCAGGGAAATGCACATCTTTGCCCTTTCAAGGTCTAGAGCAAAACCGAAGTGTTTTCTTCCACTGGCTTGTGGACCATGGGTTCCTCTAATCTCCTCTCCAGGCAGGCGGTAGCAGCAGCAGCAGCTCAGGGGTGAAGCTCGTAGCAGAATCCAGGTCTCTGACTGTCAGAGCAGAGCTCTGCTCGGCCCCAACCCACAAATCACTCAGCAAGAGAAAGGCAGGCTTGGGGTGCACCAAGCCAACCCCCCCTCATGGACCAGCCCTTCTTTGTCAAACTGCGACAGCAAAAGAGAAAGACAAAAAATATTCAACGAGTGCTGTCTGGCACAGCCAAGCCCCTCCACGTTGCTGCTGTATTGAGCACTTGCTTACTAACAATGGAGCCAGGGCAAAGCCAAACCACACGCCCATCCTTCTGCAACATCCCTCTCCTTTGGCTTGTAAAAGCTGGCTCGGGGCAAGCACAGCCTCGAGGGCTGCTCTGGGCAGGGGACGCAGCATGTGTGGGAAGAGCTGTGGCTGTGCACTAGCAGCAATGGAGCAATATCCTACTTTTCCCTTTGTTAGAGGGGATTTCTAGCCTGCAGTGCTGAAGATGGGCTCTGAGGAGAGAAATCACATTACTTCATGTATTTAGATGTAAACTCACAGAAGGCAAAATTCACCACTGGGCAGCTGGCTGGAGCATAGAAACGCTCCCCAAGAGCAGCCCATCAGCCTTGCGAGGACAGATGGGGGCAAACCCCCAGGCTGTACTCCACAGCGCCAGCCTAGGGAACAAGGAACAAGGAGCCGCACTTCACCAACATCCCTAATTGAAGGCAGACGCAATGCTGTGCTACCGCACAGTCATGGGAGCTGGAAGCAATACACCCATTTAAGAAAAACACCCAGCGCTCAGGACCTGGCAGCAGTGATGGGCAGAGATCAGCCACACGGAGCTCAGTGTGGTGGGTAGAGACAGCTGCAAATGCAACAAGCAAGGAGCAGAAACAATGGGAGGATGAGTGAGGAGAGACCAGCACAGAGCAGAGATGGGGATGGGGGCAGGGAGAAGAAATTCTGTCCTCGGCTAAATTTACACCATCCTGGCCAGGCTCCAGCCACAACAACCAGAGCTCCACACACCCTCCTCCTGGCAGCCCCCAGCTCCCATCAAAGTGGGGCTTTCTCCTCACTCGCTCGGCCATTTGCATGGCCTTAGCCAAGAGGCTCAGCTCTGAACAGCAAAGATAATACAAATGGGAACTAGATCCAGAGGTCCAGGCGTGAAGAGTTCTCCCTCCCACACCAACCAGAGCACCCAGGGGAAGGGGAGTGAGGGGAAGCAGCATGGTGCAGGGAGACAGGGCCCCAGCCAGCTCAGAGGAGAGGTCCCCCACCCACAGGGGAGGTGGTTTCTGGCAGAGATGCTGTGGCCTAAGGACTGCAGTGCTCAGGCTCCATCCTTAGTGAACAACCAGCAGTGTGTCATGGAAGGAAGATCTTCACTGTGGTCCAGACAGACACTCTTGAGCAGCACAGACCCAGGTAACAGAGTCCCCTCAGGGACGCACCCGGCCAGCCTTGCCTGCACAGAGCACTGGTGAAGCTCTGCATATCCATGCCTCAGCAACGTCAGCGCAGTCATGTCATGACAGCATTTATGTTTTTTCCTCTGAAGCAGACAAAGCTATTTTCAGAATTCCCCACAGAAGGGAAATTCGGTTCCTAGCTACTTTCTACCAGGACAGGAAGAGCACTTCAGAGGAGCTGTTTGTTCTAGTCGAACGGGAGCAGCAGCAGGCAGTAAAGCCATTCCCAGCTTGGACCAGGGTAATGGAGGCTGAGGACCTGCAGATGCCTTCCCTGTGGGTGCACAGCTGGGAACCTCCATGGCTCGGTTTCCAGCTTCTCCTCCTGCTGCCTCCTCTCCCACTGCATGGAACGTCGGTGCTGACTCCAGACTTGTGAATCTCATGGGTGTCACAAGGTTTGGACTCCCCTGCTCTATCACCAGCAGAGCTACACACTCACCCTGATGTTCCTGCTGACTGGACCCAAGAGAAAATGCCTTGCTGATCTAAACTCTGATGATTAATTTAACCTTGAACTTGCAAGCAAGGCTCTATGTAAGTGGTTACTGGGAGCATCAGAGCCCTGACACTTTAGCC